CGTTCTCTGGCCGGTACATATCTATAAGTTTTATAGACTTAGTACATTCTTTCTTGTACATAAGTACATTTTAAAATCATACCCCATGATACCCAGCAATTGTACTACATAAAAACATCATACCCCATGCTACCCTATAATTGTAAATCCAGCCAGCAACAGTTATGAAATGTGAATCCATAAGCCAAGACTAACGGATTAAACTCAAATGTTCCGACACATGAAGAAACCAAAAACTCCAGACAATCCCCAATAGTAGACTAAATATTAATTGCCTAAACCCCTAACAAAATTTCAGACTCGCCAAGTCGAAAACAAAAATCTTAAATTACAAACAAAATCAAAAAGCACTTGTATCCAAGAGCAAACAGTTTAATCTAAGCGAAGAATCAAAGTCAATCCAAATCAATAACTCCAAGCTCTTCCTAATTCTCCCAGAACTTTTGAAACTCACTCAATATCTAAGAAAACTCGAGACCGAACTTCAACCAATCCAGATCAATAAGTTAAGTTCAGTTTGAGACGCGAAAGTTTTCAGTCGGTATTATTCAAAACTTGTAATTATTTCGGTTCAAATATAATATAGATTTTTTTAAACATACGAATAGTACAAGCATTTAATTATATATATGGGCAATTCTCCAGAAAGGTCTACCGCGGACAAAAACTTAAAATTGCTTAAAAACGAGTATTTTTAACATGATTACATAAAAAATTGGTCAGGGTGATCAAGACTAAAAGAATTTTTCATATTCTAAAATAAGTTAAAAAAATATCGATGTCAAACACGCGCAAACGCAATTAATTTTGTTTTTATCAAAAAAAGGCATAAAAATGGCATGTTTTGTTTTGATGCCAATCTCTTAAACCGAAACATTTTGCTTTGACTTTTGGTTTCTAATATGACATAAAAAACCCAAAGAGTCAATATAAAATGCAAAAGAAATTAAAAATTGTTCCAAAACGTCGCGTGCGACCGGGACTAAAATTAAATTTAAAAAATAACTACTTAATATTTTAAAATCAAACAAAATACATTATCAAGAGAATTCATTGCGAAATTCATTACAATTTTTTGTACTACAATTTTTTATCACGTAAATGTAACTTTTATTTTTGTCGCGTGCGAACGCAGTACATTTTAGTGAATATCTTAAAAACAAACAAGGGTTCAAAGTCGACCTTAGCACCAATTATAGTGCTAACCAAGAGCTATACGTTTCAATTTTTATAAAATTAAAATAAAGTCTTGGCATATGTGTTTTTTTAGTTTGAATGCGTACGAATGTCGCATTCGACACTAGAGAATTGCTCCATATGTGTACATACATATGTATGTCATAGAAACTATCTTTAAATGTAGAGGAAAATGCCAAACTGTGGATTTAAAACTGCAATTAAAATTAGAATATGTGACTGTGATTACGTGACTGGCATTACTTCGTTGTTTTTTGAGATATATTGTATTACTTATAAATATTATAATTATTTTTTCCATCTGATGTTTTATTATTTGCTTTTTAATCAAGGTTGAGTTACCCAATAATTATTTGACGGTCGATCGTGGTTGTTCGCAAAGAGTTCTATATTTTTCAGACGAATGCTGCTTTAATAGCCAATTTACCCAATTACAGCACGTCTTGACACCATAAACCTATAAAAATAATGATTTTCTTTGGAAATAAATGAATTCGGAGTCATGTACATACTACATACAATTTATTTTATTCAGTAAATACATATTTCAATTGGGATATTCCGCAGATAAATATTAAATGTATTAGTATTGTAAATTTCATAGTATAATTTAAATTTACGATTTTTTATGACCTAATATTATTCGTTTAACTAAATCGAGATATTAACCCTGTAACTGCAATGTTTGTATTTATTTCAAATAGTCAAGAGACGAATTTTTATTACTGCAACTGTAAAAGTTCCAACATAAATGAGACTCGTGCTGAGAATAATGTAGGAAATATGTATGTATATTTTCGAACTATTTATGTCAGCACTACGCTTAGTATTCATCTATATATATATATATATATATATATATTTATATATATTTATTATTTCAGCTTACATTTTAATAGCACAGATAGTTATAGTTAATTAGTTTTAGATTAAGCTTTCTTTAAAGAAACAAGTTCAGAGTTGTAAGCTTTCCATTAGTTTGTACATTTTGGGTAACCGAACTCTATGGAAACTAGTAATAGAGTTTTGAAATTAGAGTTTTGACATTAGATGGATAGACATTTACAAAAGGATACATATAAGAAATGAGAGCCACACACTTTCCATAGACTGATTACAAATGCTTCTGTGCATAGGGATATTATTATACCAATAGTTATTATTTACTTTTTTCGCAGTAAGTAATTTTGATTTAATTTTATAATATAATGCTTCGACTACATATTCATACTAGCTGATGCAATTTTTTATTTATTGAACATTCAAGTACGGTAATATTTTTTACGATTGATTTTAATTAAATTTAAATACACTTAATAATCTAGTTATTGTTACCATTGTGGATGTGATGTGTATGAATGCGCGTAGGTGTAGATTTGTGTATTTCTGTACTGAGTACTTTAAGTATGTCTTTATGAGTGGGTAGAGTAATGAGCCTTACTTGTTTTCTTAGGATGCTTTGTTTTTTTTTTGTATTTTTTGAATAGTTTTTCTTTTTTTTAGATTTTTGTTGCCTTGATATATGAGCGTGCGTCTGTGTGGAGCTTAGCTTCATGTTAATGTGTTTCAAATGGTTTTAATTCATTTTTGTATTGGTCCATTTTGCTAGTAGTTGCATAAGCGTTGTGAAAAATTTTAAAACGTTGAATGGTGTGATCGAGGACAACCCACGCTGGTCGAGAGTGAGAAAGCTTTGCGACTAGAGTATAAATGTGATATGCTACAAGAAAATCATTAAAATATGTCTTTAATGTGAAATGCCCCTTATAAACCCTTTGAGCTGGTATGATATGAATCGAGTGACCATGATATTGACAGTTGCAGCATATGTATATGTATGTATGTTCCTATTGGGTTTTACGTAGTCATGTTCACTTTTATATGTACTTTCCTACCACAAGACCCAAATGAATTGACTGTGATTAAACATCAATATCGGATTTGCTTGGTTTTTGTGATGCGATTGAACTGATTTCAAAAAATAATTCTAACTTTTTAGATTTTTACTTAAAGGGTGTGGCTTAATATTTTATTTGTCTGACGGCACTATTGGTGTGAGCAGAGGTCGCGTAGAGAAAAATTATCGGACACTGGTATAATAAACACCTGTAAAGTATTTTAACTTTAACTTTAATTTTAAATACGAAAACTACCATAAACTTAGGTTAGACATTCAAGTTTTATTGAACCTGAAACGTTGGGGTCCAATGGCTCTCGGGTTCAAATTTAACGATTCGAAATACTCATACATTGTACATACATCTGATACGTCTGACTCATACCCAAAAAAAAGACAATTTGTAAAATTCATTTATGCTTCAAAAATAAAATGAATGAAAGCTTAATCAAGTAAGAGCAATCGATTAATAAAAATAATACTATAACACATATATTCATTGAAGTAGTCAATCAGTTTAATTACACCATAAAATGTTTATTCCCTTTTTGCCAATATCAGTTATATTTATGTGTGTGTGTTTGTTTGTGTGTATGTGTGGTGTGCATATTTCTTCTGTGATCAATGTAAACGTGGAACTGAATTATACTGAGAAGAGGGAAAACACCCATCCCCAGAAATAGTGATTAAAATAAAATGAGCGAGACTTTTATGGGTGTAAATCTGAAAAAATTATGTTTTGAGACTAAATTGTTTATAATCTCAAAGTTAAAACAACAAAGTATTAAGTATGAGTAAAAAAAAAATCATAATTTATAATGCAATTAAATTCTAAAAGTGTAATAAACTTTGAGAAATCAATCCAAACAAAATTGTTAAATGATCTGCGATTGAATTTTTTTAAAATGAATTGATTTTAGAAATAAAAATTTGCACTTTATTTTGCATTATAAAAAAACATTTATAATCATAACAAATATTTTATGCATGTATGTTATGGTAAATTTTTAATGATCTTCAGTTTCTAGTTGATGGAACTAGAGCTGATTTTGTCAAATAGTATTTGTTCTGCTAACACGCTAGAGATTTGATTTGCGACTGATGTACACAAATTTGTTGCTTGCTTTTAAAGTACCGAATAACTTAATTATCAAAATTCCCAAAAAAACCCCGCTGAAAATTCTCCACTACGCCTAGCCTCTCTCTGTCGTCCTTGCCTTGCCGCCTGGCTGCTGTGAATCTTAAGCATTTCATTTTCATTTGCTGACCGGTTCGGACTGAATTTTGTTTCATATAATCGATAAACCTTTCGATTGCTTCGCTCCTGGGAAAAAAATTTAAGAATGCGTTAATACAAAAATACAAAGTTGATACATTTTTAAAAATAAAATTTACGTTTTTATTTTTCAAAATCAAAACATATACGGTCCCACTAGCTCAGATGAAAATCAACATAAATTTCTAGGATGAGCTGGTCAATGTGCTTAAAATAATATCACAATAACTTGTTATTTCGGCATTTCTCATAAATTATTAAACACTTTGATTTGCCTTAATTTGCTAATGCTAAATAAACAATTAAAACTAAAAGAGAACTTAGAATATAATTGGAAATAGGGAATTAGCGAAAAATTAAAATTTAAAATAATCGGAGAACCTAATCCAATGATCAGTGTGTCGCTTAACGCTGAGATATAAGAAAAACCTTTAAATAAATTTTTAAATACGTTATAGTAATAGTAAGTGAGGTATGCAAATAAAAGTTGAAAACACAATTTGTCTACTTAGATTATTAACACAATGCAGTATCATTACATATAAGAAAAGGAAATAAAATGTTGAAATTTGTAGAACTAAGATGCAAATGCAGCAGAGAGCAAAGAACAAACCTGAACGCGGATATACGTCGAATTTGTAAAAACTGGTCGAGACTCAGCAGCTTTAGTTAATACATTCTCGTCAACTCGTCGATTCAAAAATGAAAAAGTTAAACACACACATCATCGGTACCCTGTTGCATCTGTAACGGCCAATGCTTCTGCTCCAGATGGACACATATGACCACGCACCTCGCTTGTATTTGGCATAGTTTTCGTTTTTTTTTTGTGGGTTTTTTTGTGGTAAGTTATTCAGTTTACTCGGCTTTGGGGTGCAATTGCAACTCATCTCTAGCGCTTGCGCTGTGTCATACAAAGTCCAGCTCGGAACGGGTGCTGTACATCTTGCGCTCCATGGTGCGCTCAAACCACTTCTTTATTTCGGAAACGACCAGCACGGAGGATGTGAGCGAGACTAAGAAAAATATGTCGTAGGGCGTTAGGGCTTCTGTTTGAAAGACCATCTGGAGCGGTGGAAAGTAGACGACCAGCATTTGGCCGACAATTGAAAATCCAACGGCAAGCAGGAACATGCGATTGGTTGTTAGGCCGATGGTGAATACACTCTTTGTTTGCGAGCGACACGAGAGGGCATTAAACATGTCGAAGAATACGAAGCACGTGAAGGTCATGGTCGTATCTCGTTTGGTCTTGCCCAGGGTTCCGTCGGCCATTTCTCGTTGAAACACCCAAAGCGTACCCAAGACTATAATGCTAGCGCTTAGAAGCACATTAACCACCACAGATTTTGTAATCATGGGCTGCTTCACATTGCGAGGCTTTTGTTTTAGAACGTCGTGGTCAACGGGCTCCACGCCAAGTGACTGTGCTGGGGGGCCGTCCATTATGATGTTGATCCACAGAATCTGCATAGCGTTCAAGGGGTTGGCAATGTCCATCAGAGTAGCCAAGGCAATAAGGGCCAGGGCAGCAATTGATGTGCTCAGTTGAAACCGAACAAAGTTCCGTATGTTGTAGAAGATGCCCTTGCCTTCCTCGATGGCAGCACTGTTAAAGTGTAGTCATTTTAGTAGAGCTATTACTCCATAAATCTATATACTCACATGATGGTGTGGAAATCATCATTGACCAAAATCATGTCCGCGGCCTCCTTGCACACATCAGTTCCGTTTTTGCCCATTGCAATGCCAATATCCGCCTTCTTCAAAGCCACTCCATCGTTGACGCCATCCCCAGTCATGCCAACTATGTTTCCGGTACGCTGAAGGGACTTGACTATCTCCAGCTTGTGCCTTGGCGAAACTCTGTAAAAGACGCTCACATTGTTGGCTACCTTGTCCAGTTGATGCTCATTCATTTGATCTATTTCCTGCCCTGACAGCGTCTGGTGGTGTATTGTGTCAATGCCAATGAGATTCGCTATAGAAGTAAGAAAATAATAATTAAAAAATCATTTTTGGTAATGACCAAGAACGAATGCCAGAAAATATCACAGTGAATTCTGTATCGATACTTGATGCAAAATTTAAAATATTAAAGGATATTTTAGCTTATCGATATACATACATATGTGCGATAAAACCAATAAGATATAATTTAAAAAATTATTGTAAGAAAATAATTTTTTTTGTTTGTTTTGTTTAGTTTGACATCAAAAATTTGAATCGAAAAACTATATTTTATAAATCTAATCTATCTAATCGTATAAATCCAAGTAGTCTTAAATAGACAAAAGCAACTAACAATAACTTTTCCTTCTCCGACGACAAAGGCTCCGTGCTACGTTAAAACTCCCATAAATTAATTTTCCAAGCTATTGATGCTGACACTGTGCAACATGCTAGTAAGAGCAAGAGTTGGCACAGCTGGAATCCACATAACAAATTTACAAACAAATACTTATTTAATAGCAGCGAAGGTTATTATGAAAAAGTTTTCCGGTGCTGTTATTAGCGAATTCAATTGAAAATAAATTTAGAATGGTCAGAAATCTTCGTTTACACGATAACGTAGAACTTAATTTTAAACTATTAAAATATATTATCCTATTAGGAAATAAAGCGCAATCAGTAACTTTGTTATTTTTACCCTTGCAGGGTATTATAATTTTGGTTAGAAGTTTCCATCGCTGTGAAGGCGACATTTCCGACCCTAGAAAGTATATATGTATATTCTTGATCAATATCAGCAGAACGACATGATCACAGCTCAGTGATGGATTTCTAACTATAGTTTTGCTGAACGCTTATGATCACTGGTGCAAGATTTCATGCATCATGATCAGCAAAAACGTGGCGTAAAAATAAAACGCTGCCTTTTCGCTTTACTTTTTGATTATATCGACGGCTGAAATAACGATAAGGATAAAACTAAAAATAGGCATGCATCAGCGGCAAACTTGATTACTCGTTAATAATTAGTTATTATTTATTAAAAATTAAGTTATTTATTATTTAGTTTGCTATAGCCATAAATGCAGTGAACAGTGAAATGGGCGAAATAAATTTGACAAACCGGCTTTTTAAAAAAAGGAGGAGGAACATTAACTAGCATATTATTTAATGAGGTCTTTGGTCAAAAACTATTGATTGGAAAATTTAAGGAACAATTTAGAATGTCCCTAGTTTTTTTCAGGTATACGTACAAAGTCGAAATAATATTAAAGGTATTATAGAACAATTTTTTTTTTTCAATTAAAAATTTCTCTGGTAGCTGTTATGCTGAACCATGAATTTCCTGCCATCCTCCACAGCACACAGTTAAAATTGGTCGAGTATAAACCTACATATATACATACATACATTCGTATACCTAGTAAATGACGTAGGGATACTTTTTTAAACATTTATAAGGACATGACATTACATAAAGTTATCAAATAAAAATGGTCTATTTAACTTAGTATTGTACTAGTTACTGGTAAAGTAAAAATATTTAAAACTGTTCGGTTTTCTGCCGATTTCAAAAACAATGTTCTGAGAATAAACCAAATAAATAATATCGGAAATAATCAGAATTGGAAAAAGGTTAACCGCTTTAAACATGTTTGAAAAACGTTTTAAAGATAAAAACTTGATTTCAAAATAATCTACAATGGTGGCCCAATAATATAATATAAAATAATAATAATAAATAGTAATAAAATAATAATAATAAATATAAATAAATAATATAAAACTTTAAAACAAAAAATCCGTTTTCTATTGGGTGTTTACAATATCAATGACTACTTTTTTTGGTGTACGATTTCAATTTCCTGCTTCGTCGCTAAGTGAGCACAACGGGATGCAGCAGTTGCGAAGTAGCAACAACAGCGCCATGATAACCTTTGTGAAAAGTTTCGTCGCCATTTTTCATTATGGCGCCCGCTTATTTGTCTCGCCAAGCTGTGTACAGAGCGAGGCACCAACCCTATTTCAGGTCCCTTGTAGAATATTTTTTCAGCCAACGTGGGCACTGAATAGTAAACAGCAACAGCAAAAGCAACAGGATGAACACAACGGAGATGCGCGGCAAAATAAGCAAAAGGAAGTCGTAATTAAAACGCATTCAGGGACTTGTACCATATATCCCCCGCTCCGCCCTTTCAGACAATTATAAGCTGCCCGTCAATGCCAGCCTGCTGCAAGGGATATCATAGGTAGCAACCACCAGTATCGCTATTGGCCCCCATTTTTAAAGCGTAGATAATGGCATTGAAATATTTGTCCAATATTTTGAATAGTTGATGAAACCCATGGCTATATCTTAAATTTGATGAAAATCTGCTAAAAACTGAAAACGTTATAATTTTTAATTGAATTAATTTCTCGATCGTTCCTATGGGAGCTATATGATATAGTAGACCGATTTTCATAAAATTTTACACAACATTGTAGAATAAATAATAATGAAATGGCTATATCTCAAATTTGATTGAATTCGGTTGAAAACTGAAAATGTTGCCATTTTTTTTGTAAAAATTTTCCGATCATTCCTATGGCAGCTATATGATATAGTCGTCCGATCCGGCCCGTCCCGACATATATACGAGTGAGAGTATATAGAAGACTAACTACGAAGTTTCATTCAAATAGCTTCAAAACTGAGAAACTAGTTTGCGTAGAAACGGACAGACGGACATGGCTAGATCGACTTGGCTGTTTATCCTGATCAAGAATATATATAGTTTATATAGTCAGTGGTGGCTCCGTAAGTGCGTTGCAATCTTTTGACTAAAATTATAATACCCTGCAAGGGTATAAAAAAATGTATACAGTATAACAAGATTATTGTTTATTTTTTTACTAATCTATTACGATACTTTTAAGTTGCTTAATATTTCGGCTTATATTTCTTTAAGAGCAGAATGATAATTTCATATACCGTAAGAGCGAACCATCAATATATGTAAGTTGACTAAATATATTTTAGAAAATTGTCATTTGTTGTATGCACTTTTTAATTAAATTAGATTTATCAGTCTTGTAATTATTTGCAACAAACGAGAAATGTTGTAGAACTCATCATTAGACTTTTATGCATGAATGGAAAATCAATGTATCTGTTTTCAGTGTTTTCCCTACACATCACTAAGTTCAACCATTATCCAACTCATGAGCGCTGCCGAGACGAATGTCTAAAGCACCAAGATATGTAGTTTCCCATCCCAGCCTCACCGTTACTTTCCATACGTACAGGATTTCTTTGAATTAGCCATGCAGTTTGGCTCTCCTACTTGTCCGGGTAAACTAAACAAGTGAAGAATTTAAAAGACACGAAACCGACTAGAACCAATAAAGGAGCAGAGAGGAATCAATTTTTCATTTCCTAATAAAGAGCTCCCGAACCAAGTTCGGAGTCCATGCAAAGGATGGGTCGCCGTCCGCGACAGATACGACTACGATGAGAGGGATGCAGATGACGACCCAGGGGTTGAAATCTCCTCGCAGTTCATTATTTCAACTCCTGTCTGCTGACTACTGACAACGATGATGTCGATTCCCTCGTTTTCTTTGTCTCAGGATATTAGATGTGGTCCCCCAACTTGGAAAATCCTAGAGGAATAGCCACCTGGGTTTGGCTTCCCTTTTCGTCTTTTCACTTTAGGGGAATCATTTCTGATAGGTGAGCGAACGCTTTTTCAATTTTCTGCGCTAGCTTTATTCACATTAAATTTAGCAAGTCATTTTTGGGAGATCCGTGTTAATGCTAAAGTTTAAATCGTTTGAACGCCTTACGGTACATTTTTTAAAAATAGAAATACGAGTTTTTTAAGCAAACACTGGCATACACGAAATTCGGAATCTAAGAAAAGTATAAAAGTTATCGGATTAAGAGATAACGAGAAAAACAGAAGACTTGTTCTAAATCAAGTATACTCATCCTAAAAAAAATTCCAAATCTGCAAACGTCAAGAATTGGTGTTTCCACATTCAATATATAAATAGGTGAAGCTCGCCCTTTAAATAAAGTGTCGTGTGAAACTTAAACAAAGAAGCACCCTAAAGAGGTTATTAAACTTTAAGTTGGGGTGATCTTCGGTCTAAAATATTTTAGTTTCTTTGTCTTAGAATGAAACAGAAGCTAAGAAAAATAAGAAAGAAAGATAACTTCGGCAAGCCGAAGCTATGTGATCATTAAGAATTCACTTTGGCCGAACGAAAAAAAAAAATTTAAAACATTTGTACATATGATATAATATGATTTTGATCAAATTCCAAACATTATATTTTAATCGCATAAAATACCTTTATCTCAAGTTTGAAATATCTAATTTTATAAAAATTTTAAACAAAGATGTATGTTGAAAAACAACCATGTAATGTATACTTATTTATATTTCCAGTTTTACATTTTGCCATTCCTATGGCAGCTATATGATCTCGTGGTATCTTAGATGCATGCTAATATATAGTAAGTGGAATAATTCGAAGACTATCTGCAAGGTGTAATCTTAAACGCCCTTAAACTGAAAGACTAGTTTGCGTAGCAAAGGACAGACCGACTTGGGTAGATCGACTCGGCTGGTGATGCTGATCAAGAACGTATAAAAACTTTATAAGGTCAAAAGCAAATCCTTTTCTGCGTTACTAACTTCTGCCTAAAAATGTAATATCCGGTAAAGGTATTAAAAGTGATAGTTTCCTGAAAGCAGCTAAATAGAAATAGTAGAAAAAAATAAGTAATCTACGCGAAACATATATTGGCCCCAACACCACAAAATCCCAGTTACTTACAAATGGCCAACGCCGTCTCTTGTGCATCTCCAGTTACCATCTTGACCCGCACGCCGCTTTGCATCAACATTTCGATGGATTCACGCACCAAGGGCCTTGGAGGATCAGTGATCCCAACCAGACCGCAGTAGATAAGGTCTTGCATGGATCGCCCTTTTGCAAGTGCTAGTACCCGGAGTCCTTTGCGCCCGATCTCGTACGCCTCGGCCAAAAACTCTGACTCATTCTGCTTTGTTAGAGGCACAGTCTGAGTGCCGAACTGGTACTTGGTGCACTGCGGTAGCAGGGTTTCCAGAGCGCCCTTGGCGAAGAAGATCTCCTCCTTGTTGTTATTGTATTTGTGGATGCACTTCACGGCCATCATCTTTTGCTCCGAGCTGAAGGGGTACTCCTGGATGCGCACATAGTTCTCGGCTGTTGCGTACATGCCGTTCTTCATGGCCACTGCAACTAGGGCACCCTCGGTGGGCTGACCCAGCAACGTTCCCTTCTGGATGTAAGCATTGTTGCAGACTGCTCCAATCTCTAGTAGGTTCGTTATGTTCGATTTGGCCATTTCCACATTATTGCAGTGACGAATGTGAATCTCGCCCTGGTCATTATAGCCGGCACCAGTCACATCAGCCATGTACCCGTCGGAAGTGATGATAATCGTGGCCGTCATCTCGTTCTTCGTTAGGGTGCCCGTCTTGTCCGAGCAAATTACGTTTACGCACCCAAGTGTCTCAACAGTCGGTAACTTCTTAACAATGGCGTTGCGCTTAGCCATCCGCATAACGCCCAGCGCTAACGTGACTGTGACTACGATGGGTAAGCCCTCGGGTATGGCGGCCACGGCCAGTGATACGCTAATGTTAAACATCTCCGAGAGCGGCTTGCCCTGCAGCCAGCCTAGCAACATAATAACGCCAATAATAAGAAAGGAGTAGAAGCTTAACTGAGCTCCCAGAATGTCCATCGACTTTTGCAAAGGCGTCTTGGGAGCCTCCTCGGCTTGCATCATCTTAAAGACCTCGCCGAACTCGCTGCGTTCTCCGGTGCTCACTACTATGCCCTTCCCATTGCCGCAACGCACAAGCGTGCCCATGAAGGCAATGTTCTTCATGTTGCTGTGGTCCTTCACGTTTGTGTTGTTCAGTAGGACGTCGGTGATTTTACGGGCCGGCTCCGTCTCGCCGGTAAAACTGCTCTCGTCAATGGATAGGTCCACGGCCTCAAAAAGCCGGATGTCGGCAGGGACGCGGTCGCCTACGTTGAGGTGCACCACATCGCCTGGAACTAGTTCCCGAGCCAGGAACGTGTCCAGTCGACCCTCGCGCAGACAATGGCACTCGGGCGGTACCAGCTTTTTAAGCTCTTCAAGGCTCTTCTCCGAACGGTATTCCTGGATAAAAGCCACCGTGACTACGATCAGAATGGCTATGGTTATGCTGACGGCGTCGTCAAATTGCTTCATTATGACGGAGACCATGGCTGAGCCGAGCAGCAGTAGGATAAGCGGGTTCTTGAACTGCTCAATATACTTCCTCCAGGTTGGGTCTTCTTCGACAAGCAGCAACTCGTTGTGGCCGATGATCTTTGCCCGATACTTGGCCTCCGACCATTTCAGGCCGGTCCGCACATCGACCTGCAATCGTCCAGCCACCTCGGAGGCGCTGTGAGTCGATGACTCCGACGTGGATAGCAGCATTTCAGGTGTGAGGGTAAGACCCGTCTGTCAAAGGATAAAGATAGATAAGATTAGAGTCGATTCAAAACTTTTTAGTATATATTATCACCAAGTGCAGCTACTAAGCATTAGAAAAACCTAAGCATTTGTGTGTAATCTTAACACTTCATCTAGTTTTGATTTACGTACTTGTTATAAATTCAATTTAAAAATTAGTATGCATATTTCCATGTAAATATACACAATTTAAAGCTAACATTATCCTCTTGAAATATGAAATTATTTTCTTAGAATATTCCATTATGATAAGCAGATTATTGAATTTACACATTGCTTTGAACGTACATATTGCATAAAGTTTTTTAACATATTTATATAAAACATATTTTTATAAATAAGGTAATAAGGAAATATATAATTAATTTCAATAATAGAGTTATTAAGGACAGCTTGCACCCTTTTGTGTAATATACAGCCAAATATCTCAGAAGTGTTTTTTTCTCCTTTTATAATAATTTATTAAATGTCCTTGATTTTTTCCTAATTTTTTCGTAGAAACTATTATTGTCATAAGCCCCCTCCCCCAATGGGATCTATAGCGAGACCTAAGGTCTTAAATTGCAATTCTGTCAGTTCTTTATAATGGGATTTGTAACATTGGAATTTTGAAACGGTAATAAGTTCTCATTAAATCCAAATTGGCCAACTAGAGCCATAGGGGATAAAACGAAATACATTATTTCAGCACACGAGCTCTTGTGTCACACGAATTTTATATATTATTGTAAACTAATTATTCCCATTTAGTTGTTGTTGCCCGCTAATTATATTTTATATTAAAATCCACACAGCCAAGGGCGTTGCAGAGAGCCAGACCTAAGTGTTCGGTAGCTACATTATACAAATTCACGTTAAATTGGAACTGCCCGCCACTCGTTAGTACTGGAACTTCGTTTCCAACAACTATTTATCAGACATTTTGTCTGATGTGGTTTTATAAGCAGCATATGTTTTCTTTACATAAGTATAAATTAGTCTAATTTCCATAAAACAAGAAAGGCAAACAAAATGTTGTATGTCCACCCAGTTTGCAATTTAAGCCAACCGTTCCCATCCGTAAGCCTAATTACTAACCATTAGTGTATAAAACGTAAAGGTTTTGCCTATTTTCCCTGGTTTGTCATTTAAATTGACCATTACCTCCTACGTATATGATAAATGTCACAGATTTTTGTACAATAAGTTAAATAGTAAGAAACGTACTACATTTTGAGCTTTTCATGGTATCAGTTAAGAAGTAATTGGCTTATTTTAATAATATTAGAACACGATGTTAAAAAAATTAAGTAAATGATTTTTGAATGGTGTAAAGGAACTATATTTCTTGTCTCGTGTATTTATTTATTTAATAGAGAACCCAATTATCACTATGATTTTCCTGTTCAGTTTTCTACCGAATTCGCCTTTGCAAAACGGATAATCCCTTCAACCTTAAATCTGAGATAAAACTTAAATAAGCTTATCTGCAACTAATTTACAATCACGCCTTAGACCATAAATTCTAACAAGTTGAGTCCGATTAACAATTCAAATGCTTTACCCAGAACTTCAACAATTCGAATTGCACAAGTCCCAGAGCTCTCCAATAGCAACTGGAATTTCCCAGCCCCTGCGGAAAGCTGAATCGGATATGGACGCTCACAATACGAATATTCATATGTGTACCTGATCTTCAATGTACACACAAATGGCATGTCTGGCTCTGAGCATTATTCAGGGCTTCTGGAAGGAGAGGGAACTTGTAAATATCAAAAAACTACAAAATCACTTAAGTGCAAACCACAACAGCCAACCCAAACATACATGTGTGTATATGTACAAGTTAGATGGGACCACTTACGTCAGAAGCATTGATGACTATCATTTTGGTGGAACAGAAACGACGACGGAACGAATTCTTATCATTAGCGCGCGGGAGTGGATGCCTGCCGGGATGCACGCCAATCGATTCCAGCCTTTGACGATCGCGCGAGCGTTTGGGTTAGTGGATTGTTTTATCAGTCACGCTCGAGATGTCAGCATGAATATTAACGTTTGACTACCTATATCTCACCGCACATGGTACGCTCGCGGAGATTGGGAGCCGGACTACTCGAAGCCACTGGATACGGAATAGCTGATTTGCAGCCTGGGAAATCTCCAGACTCCTCGTCACCCAATGGGGATTCCTCTTTTCTCCTTATAATATTTTCAGCCCTTTAGAAATGAATGGCAAACGGAAATCAAAACTTGGTCTTGGCTCATCCTCATTAGTATCCCAAAAACTATCCGATAATGCATAGAAACCTTTACAGTTGTAGTCAAAATAATGTTACTAAAAAATTCATTCTTTTGTAATTGTCGAAAATGTATTTAAAAATAAAAACTTGCGGCAGAAATTTCCTAATTTTTTTTTTTTATTTAGAATTTTGTTTTTTTGTCAAGAGTTTGAGCGCTGCCCTCCCTATAGCATCAGAAATGTAATAATAGGTGCGACTGGGGCTATGTTTGTACTGATAAAATGAGTAACATCTGATCTAATTAACAAATTTGTGTCTTATCTAAAAAAAAAACACATGCATGTGGAAAAGTATGAATGTACAAGCGCCTCAAGCAACTAATAATCAAAGTTAAGCTTCAGGTCATTTAAAAATCCTAGGCATATGCATATATACATATGTACATATTTATGTATCTGATACCACTATAATTCGCATGTCCAATGGACTGAGAATGAATTCTTTCAACGAAACTGGGGGGCAGACGCCTGGTAAGGTGAGATGAATTTCTAAAGCCCAGTGAGCTAGTTTCTTTTTGCTCAATAGGAAAACGATAACGTGGCCATGGATGCCGTGGTTGTTATATTTTATATTTTTAGCGAGTCAGAGGTTATGGCCAGCTTTTAAACCCCTTCACACACGTTAACAACTTGAACACTTGAAATTGTGAAACCGAAGAGTTAAGATCTTCAAAGCACATATGTAGTATGTATGTATGTATGTATGTAATATGTTGAGTGGATGCAGAGGACGGCTCGAAGTCACCGGCGTGGCGTCGGAAGTTCGGAACACGACTAAACAAAAAGTTATCAGATAGGTAGGTTGTTAGGAAAATGAATTGATTAAATGCACGTAAATAGATGTATGTCTGTGGATGTTGCTGTGAGAGACAACAGATATGCGGACAGGTAAAATAACAGCGGCAGATTAAATAAACGAATGAGCCGACTCACAACTCAACGGCCACAACAACAACAGAAAACCGCCAGCAGCGTCACAAACAATAACCGAGGAAGAACGGGAGGCAGGCAGAACAGCAGCTAAGGGCCGCGGTTTCTTTACACTCACGCACAACTGGAAGAGGCAAGGGAGGTTTTATTAATTCTGTCACATAGAATTTTTGTTTCGATTAAGAAAACGCGTTGCCCTTGTTTTCTTTGTTTGTTTCTTTTTTTATAAGCTTTTGTTGGCACACACGCGCAAAAATGCAAGAACAATGACGAAAGTGATCTAGCGACGTGTACGATCTCAGAGGAAGAGAACCGCTTAACAGCACGAATGGTGCTGTTACGGCGCGAGACCTGAAGTTTAAGAGAGAAAACAGTGAGAGCGCTAATTCTGACTAGACTGCAGATCGTGCTTTGTTATTGATGTACTTCTGTTTGCATATGAATGTATGTATGTATGTTTGTGTTGGGCTCAAGTTCAGACGATAATGATCGGATCCCACAGCTATCGGAAGTTTTCACTGGGATGTGATGGGCACTTATTGGAGGTTTCACTTACAATTGTTTCGCCACCGTTAATTACTCAATTACATGGATCGTTATCTGCGGCGATCGCTGCTCGTGCGGTATTTTCGGGAAGTGCACTCTATTGTATCGCCCTTTCAATTAGCATATATGCTAATGTTCTAATTGGAGACGAGTGCGAGATCTCCTGATCAGATCCCCATGTCACTTCTTTATTCAAATGTACGAAGATTGTGCATCCAGACATTTACATACATACAAATGTAAGTAATACGTACTATGTATATTTATGTGGACTTCCGGTTGAATTCTTTTCGCAAATTTACATTTTTGCTCCGTGTTTTAAAATTAAAATATATACCTATGTATATACAAACATACATATATCCTATACATATGTACATATGTAGGAAGGTATATAAATAATATTAATATTAAATTATTATAAGTTTATCAAGTTTAAGGGTGTAATAAAAATCATATAATAAGAGTTCTTTTTATATTATATAAATAAAATTGAAATAAAAATTATTTAAACTAGTATAGTACTATAATGATGATTGATCAGAGTCCAGCACTCTAGCCATCTATGTATTTGCTCTCAAACATTGAAATTTGTATGATTCGGTTTTAGTTTTATGAAAATCGGACAACTATATTAAACATCTTTTTCTAAAGCTTTAATTAATTAATAGCGTGAAATAGAAACGTGATTTTGATTACTATGCTAACACTACATTTTTCTTGAATTTTTGAAAACAATTAATTTAAATAGCACCTGTTTATGCAATACAAGAATTCATTGGATTTCCAATATAAGCGATTACAGACATTTTTTTATTCAGCTTTCAGAAAGATGAAAATAAAGTAAACTATTTTTGTCCTCTTTCAATGCGATATATTAATTTTCACGTTTATTTCAAATTAGACTATTCTAACTTTAATTTGCTTTGCTGCTTACAAGTTTGTTCGACGCTACCATACATGAATAAACATCTATTTGTATTAAATGCTTGTATTTGAATTCGGATAAATGCAGAAAATTAAATTTGAAAGTACCCCCCTGGACAGACAAAATTTAATTTAAGTAAAGGATAATTTGTTTTAGCACAACAAAAACTATTTTTGGTTCAGCATAAAAAAGTTGAACTAGCGTTGAAAAAGTTCAAATTTTTTGATATATTGACTTTATTAGCCAGAGACGCATTTATCATTAACGTGGTGGCCAGACGACCGGTCCGGCGTGTTGATGGTGCTAAGGGCGTTCTCAAAACCGTAGACCAATACTTTAGTTAATGGCAGCAGAAGAGTGCTGTGGGTGCCATAGATGGTGAGCAAGTGCTCGCCATTATTCTTGGGCTCTGTGCTTGAGGGCCAGGGCCTCTTTTGGTTTTTGCAAAAACGGCTTCCGCAGACGAGGAGAATTTTAACGAGCTTTCCGGATGTACAAAGAGGAATGCTCGCAAAGTTTGTAAAAGCTCAAAAATAAGTCAAAAGGAGTAAACGTAAGAGGAAAAAGAGATTATTTTTTTTAACAGGAGACACCAAAGCTTAGTCCCTAATGATGAGCAAATAGCCATGTTTAAGATGTCAAGCGACGTATGATTATAAAAACAAGAACACGAACTGCTCAATCACTTAAATAAAAAACTTCAGCAAAAGAAACCGTTATGACTAAGTTTAATCGAAATATCGATGACCACAGTCTAGTGTACATACTTGACCTCAAAGAACCCTAGCTAAAGTTTTGTACATTACGATTACAATAAAAATTACAATTACAATTAAAAATAAATTACATTACAATAAAATGCGTGACACACCTAGTTCTAAACTCTTTAAATTCTCACGTTTATCGTTCCATTGTTTTCAAGTTATAAGTATTTATATAAATATAAAAATATATAAATATAATTATATATATGTATAATTATTTTTCGTATTAATAAATAAAAGATTATTACTGTTTGAGATATGTTGCCTATCACATAATATGTATGTTATAATACCATATAATACATATGTATGTATAACAAATTTTAGTTTAGGCATTTTTCTCAGGAGGACCAGGAGGACTTAAGGGCAAATGAGATTTCTCTATTTACCGAAAGAGGTCCTTCCGTTGAAGTATTTTTTATGGCTTGTAAGCAGCTTACTCTAATAACTTTAACCAGCCATGTTGTTTATACAGCAGAATCTACAGAAAGGACCCAACATTTTCTACTGCACCAACAGAAAGTCCATCCAATGACTAGAGCTTAAGGGAAAGAGATATTATTTGCTGCTTACTGCTAGAATTGTATCTATTCGAAAATAATATTTTTTTATAAAATTAGAAGGGTACATTGAAAAAGAAATAACATTTATTAAAATTCCTTAATTTCGCAAAGAATGTAAATCAAAGTTTTTAAGTTTGTGTACAACGGAGGAATAAGTGCGTGTTTTTCAGTTTTTTTTCTTTAATAAAATGTTGTAAGCCCTTTACAATTACCCAATTTATATTACAGTCGAATCCCGATAATTCGTACCCCGCTAAATCGAAAATCGCGATAATTCGTAAAAAATTCTGTCCCCTTGAAAAAAACTCGTTAATTCGTAAAAATTCCATACATTTTGGTCCCCTCGTTTATTCGTAGTATTTGGCGCAACGCAAAGAATATTGAACCTCTTATAAATTGTAATTTTGTTTCGAAACCTCTTATAAATCGTAATGCGATGCGAAATATTTTGTAGTTAAAGCGACGTTAGATTTTTTGCAGGCATCAGATCGGAGAAGAAATTTTATAGAATTTACAAACCAGAGCATTAATTCCTCAACTTAAACATTATTTTTCGACTCATGATGTGCCAAATAGTGTGTTTGACAACCTAATAGGTTTAGAAAACGCAATGGAAAAAATATAAGAAAAAAACACGAAGCAATAAACAATTACCAATTATTTTAAATCTTGAATTTTCATTTTTAATAATTTAATCTTTCTGCTTAATTTTGTTTGTTAATTTTTAGTTTAATTTTCCTTTAATTTGAAAAACGTACAAACGAATGTACATATTTATTATGTAAACATGATGTGAAATGTAAAAACCCCGTTTATTCGACTCTTTCATTTTTGAGCCCCTTTAAATAGAAATCTCGATAAATCGAATTCCCGTCTAATTCGTAATAAAAGTGATCCCCTTGCCATTTCGAATTATCGGGACTCGACTGTATTTCTAAAGTTATTACAATTTGAAGTGAACGCTCGTGCTGTCAAACAACTCTCAAAGTGAAAAAGAGTGGTAATGGTTTATTCTTGTCGACATGTTTACTCAGGTTAAGTGCATGTCTCATTATTTGCTTGCTTATATCTAGCAAGCGTATACAGAGAAAGAATCGATGAATTCGGGCTGATTAAATTGGACAAGGATGGAGTATAGCATTTGCATACCTAACGGCAGACGCACATCCCATGAGCCATGTGAGACGCGCAGCATCCACCATAATGGAAACGAATGAATCTTTAAGGCTCAAATACAAACATACACACATATTTAGCGCATGCATTGCGGTCCATGTACGAGTGCTTGCACGCTGAATGAAATAACAAAACAAACAAAGCTTTTTTTAGAGAAGGCGAACAAGGAAACTGGGCGAGGGGCAGAACCATTATAATAGTTTACAGCGCCTGCATCGGATACCAACTAGGGAGGAGTCCCCACATTGACACTTGAGAGTTGAAACGAGATAAAAATTGTAGACTGCTTGTCGTGAGGCAACGAGGGTGGTACTTGTCTCGTCTTGTCCTGAGGTCGCATTCCCGCCACGCATAGACGACAGCCAAGACGACCAGACCAGACTATGCATACTAATGGACATTCAGATCTACTACACATTTATTTTTAGAGATTCAAAATGCACCGCTGAAATACAATATGGTAAATCATACTTATGTATACGAACGAAGATATGCTACGTTCCATATCGTTGCTATGACACTATGATATGATAGGATATTTAATTCAGAGATTTAACAATAAATTACAAATTAAATTCTTTTAAATGGAGGGGAGTAAAACTGAGACTAATTTGCGAAGATAAAATCAAACAGACGACACGTACATATATACATACAAACATTTTAAGGTCGGAATATTTCGACTCCTGACTAGAATTCTAATACTCTCTACCAAAAAATATTCAAACCCACACATTTTCACAAGATTTAATTAAACGACACCCTTAAGAAGAAACCCAAGCTGTAAATGTTAAATCCAGGTCATGGAATTACAGGTAAGTAACGAGTTGGAAAAATCAATTCTATTTCGGGGAGACACGTCCAAATCGAAACACTCTCACCCTGACGCTGCAGCTATGAACATACATATGTACCTAAAGTATCTGAAATAAGTTCGCCACACTAAAAAGTTCGTTCCCACGTGTCAGTCATTCAATGCAACGAAAGTCGTCAAGTGCTTCCCAGCAACCCACTCAGAATCCACAAGTTCTCCATTAGGCAAGTAAGGCGGAAAGCCGCAAAGAGTAAAATGCTCGAAAGGAGGCCTATTCTGGAGTGTACAGTGGTGGACCAAAATGGCAGACCGAAGAGAAATTATCAACGTGAACCAAATGTTGGCTTAAAGCGCCGAGCAAGGTTAAACAAAAGCCTTCTCCGGTTCAAGAAAAAGTTTAAGTTTTGTCAAGCTTGGGAGAAATCCAACCATAATCTTCATTGGAAAATAGGTAAAAGCATTTTGGTCTTGTATTTAAAACAAATTAATATATACATCACACATTG